TTCTTGCTTTCTGTCTCTGTCTCTCTTTCTGGTGAGCGCACGCGCCCTATAGCAAAAACCTCTCCAAAAGAAAAAAAAGAAGACTGAAGGAATTGAAAGACCAGTAGAAGCTCCATAGACATTTGGAATATCAATAGCCTACAATAAATGGGTTAATTTATGTAGCAACAACAACAAAATGTCCTGTAGGTCAGTGTAATAGATTTACTTTGTCATCTACATATTTCTTTAAAAAAAAAATTATCTTATTTAACTTTATTTATTTATTTATTTTCATTTGACCAAAGAGGGACAGAGTGAGAACAAGAGAGAAGGAAAATGAGAAAGCAAGCCGCCAGGTTCAGGACTTAATCCATGGTCGGCCAGGTGGGAGTCCTGTGCCCCCAACAACCAGGCCACCTGCCGGCCCCATCAACTATGTATTTTATTGCATTTCAAAGTTTAATTATGAGAAATGGGTCCACTGGCATCTGATTACCAAAGGTGTCCACACATACATACACAGCAGGTAAGACCTTGACCTACAAATAGGTGGAGGCACAAACACAGTTTTGTTTGTTTTCCTTTATGAGAGAAGGAGAGAAAGGGAAGGGAGAAAGATAGAGGTAGGTATTTCTGAATACCTACTTACCTGTGTTTTAATCTTCCTACCTCCACCTCCCAATTAACTAGGGAGCAAAAACCCCATCTGGGGTACAAAACCACATCTTAGGTGTTCTGATTGGCCCATGAACCCAATCCATGCCTCCCATCAGGCTTCCCAAGTGGTGGTGGGCACCATCTGTGGGTGAGCCCAAAAATAGTTTTAAGACACTGAATTGCCTGCCTCATGTGAGTGAGTTAAGGTACGGTTAACTGCTCGTTCTGTGTTCTGTCATTCGTTTGCACTACCTGTGTACTTGGCACAAAGGAGCTCCATAGGGTGGTAAATGAGAAGACAAACTCCAGGAAAAAGTTCTTGCAAGTGAGGTTTTTTGTTTTGAAAGGATTGCTTTATTGAGCTTGGGCGGTTGGTGCTCAGCGAGACCATGGCTTCGACGCTAGAAAGCTACAGAAAGATGTAGAAGAAGTAATGTAGAAGAAGTAAAGATGTTACTGGAAAAGGCAGCTAGGAAAAGAGTACATGATGCCCTTACAGCTGAAAAATCCAAGACTGAGACAGAAATCAAGAACAAGATGCAACAGAAATCACAGAAAACAGAATTTCTTGTCAATGAAAAGCCAGCTGCTGGGGTTGCTCCCATTACAATAGGATATACAGTGAAAATCAGTAATTATGGATGTGATTAGTCAGGTAAGTTTGTGAAAATCTACATTACCTTAACTGGAGTTCATCAAGTTCCTACTGAGAACGTGCAGGTGCATTTCACAGAGGTCATTTGATCTTTCGGTAAAGAACCTAAATGGCAAGAGTTACTGCATGATTGTGAACAATCTTTTGAAACCCATCTCTGTTAAAGGCAGTTTAAAAAAAGTTAAGACCAATACAGTTCTCGTATTACGTAGAAAGAAAGCAGAAAGCACACGATGGGACTACCTGACTTGCAAAGAGAAAGAAAAGCCTTCATACGACATAGAAACAGATCCTAATGAGGGACTGATGAATGTTCTAAAGAAAATTTATGAAGATGGAGATGATGATATGAAGCAAACCATTAATAAAGCCTGGGTGGAATCAAGAGAGAAGCAAGCCAAAGGAGAACCAGAATTCTGAGGCTTAAAGTCCTTTTCAAGAACCATGATGTAGAAATTCTTTTTTTTTTTTTTTTTTGGAGAGGTTTTCACTATAGGGCGCGTGCGCTCGTCAGACAGATAGAGACATAGAGACAGTAAGCGAGAAATCACCCCCCGGGGGGATGGTCACGCCACAATCCTTTCTCCTCCATTCTCCTCTCAGGATCTTGGGCACGCGCACACACACGCCCAGCGTGAGTTTTAAGCCACCGGGTCCGGGATGCGAACCGCGGTCGACTACGTGGGAGTCCAGCGACATAGCCATTATGCCAACTGCTGGTTCCCAAGAACCGTGATGTAGAAATTCTGATGTTTTCAATAAGGGAATGTTGATGAGCAGCACATATAAATCGACAGATAACTATTTCCACAGCCTTCTAGGCAAAGACAATGAATTCTCCATGTCCTACTGGAGAATTTATTTAAATAAAATATGCTTATTAAACACTTCCTCCAAAGATGGTTTCATCAGCACCCTGACCATTTCGTTCCAAGAAAGGATTATATTGCATTATTTGAAATAATGAAAATGCTATGTATTTTTGTTCAGCTAAGACATAGAAAACAAAAGTATTTGTTTGCCTTTAAATTAGTGATATCAATTCTAGTGTAAGAACAAGAAAGTGTATAATTTGAATTTTTGCATAAAATACAAGTTTGTACTTGTACTTGGAAGTTGATTTCTTACTAACAGCTGCAATGCATTACCATGTACCAGTAATTCAGTTACAGATGATCCTGTGTATTTAAATACATTTGTTTATGCACCTATAGAACTGAAACTAAATAGAAACTTGAGAAGAATAGACAAGCATTTTTGTATATACCAGTTAGAAAGTTTTGCCACAGGTCAGAGGCCTTATAAAAGTAATAACCATAAAGCTAAAATAATGAACTTGAAAATCCATCCATTCCTATATTCAATAACATTAGATTTTTTAATTAAAAAAAGAATTATTTAACTTTATTTATTTGTTTATTTTTTGTTTGTTCATTTATTTGTTTGTTTGTTTGACCAGAGAGGGACAGAGCAAGAGATGGAGAGAGGGAAAGTAAAAGGAGAGAGGGAAATTAAAAAAGGCAAGACACCAGGTCCAGGACTTGAACCATGGTTGGCCATGTGGGAAACCAGTGCCCTTAACCACAACGCCACCTGCCAGCCCCAGCAAGTGAGGTTTGACACCAGTTACTCTACTGATTCCACAAACAGCCTTACTGTGGCCTAGTTTCCTCTCTTAAAAATCAAACTACCAGGTCAGCTCCATGATACAATAATAATGCACTATTTGAGAGAAGCCAGATCCCACATGGCAATCACAGCTTGAATTCCTATCCCAGTCCACTTGAAACATACCAGGCATACACAGGGGCACCCGGGATCCTAGCCAGCTGGAAGAAAGGGATCGTGGCATGAGGCCTTGTGTAGGGTACTCCTGTCTGTTTCTCTGTCTCTCTCTTAATCATGTGTGCATACACTTTATCATCAATAAAGAAAAATAAGAAAGAAAAGAAGTGGGACTTCTATTGCTTACCCAATGCGCCTGAAAGAATGTGCAAGAAAATAAACATCGACTTGTATGACCATTCATGCTCTTTTAAATATATTTTATTATTTTTATTTTCACATATACTTCTTTAAAAAAAAAAAGATTTATTTAGTTTTGCTAAAGGGCATGTGTGTTTGAGAGAGAGAGAGGGAAAGAAATCCCCCCCTAGGAGGATAGCCCCACAGCAATCCCCTCTCTTCCATTCTTCTGTCAGGATTTTGGGAATGCACATACACCCACCTGTCATGTTTTCAAGACACTGGGTCCAGGACTCAAACCACGCAGTCAACCATATGGCATCCAGCGCCTTAACCACCACACCACCTTCTGATCCCACATGTACTTCTTAAACAATGTTCTGGTGGTCTGAATTTTACTAACAGTGTCCATCAGGACCTTGAATTCCATTCCCAGTTCTGCTGTCCACTGTGGGCCATAAAGCAGAAAGAGGCATCAAAGAAATGGAAATAATGGTACATCTTGCTCAAGACTGCTTTCCATGGGCAACTAACTGGTGGACTTCAAGACTGGCTTCATACTCCCTGGAATTTGTCAACGGCTGTGTATGTGTGAAGTCTGGGCAATGACAGTCCACCACTTTCATCAGTTTCTCAAAGAGAACTCCAAGAAGTTAAGACCTACTCTAGAGAAGCAAACGTGCTCCTGAAAAGCTGTAAACAAATTTCAAACGTTCCTGCATTGTGTTGTTTTTCTTACAGGATCTTCACTTGTACAACAACCTCTTTCTTGCAGCCAACTGTGGGTCAGAAATAATAAAACTGGCCTGTGCAACACTTCATTGTCACAGCATTAAGCAGAAGTCCTGGCTTTAAGCCCCAGTAGCCTAAGTGTTCAGCTACTCTATGATCACTCACGACTTTTGCTCTAATACAAAAGGAAGAAATTAAGAGATAAAGGGACATTTTTCCCACTGACTTACTCAAACAACTTTCCAAGCTAAGTTTATGCTGCAGTGCCACCTTAAAAGCTTCCCCTACTACCACAGTGCTTGCATAGGATTTTCAAATTGTTAGATGTCTAGCAAGATTCACTACAAAGACTATAAATCTCATTAGCTTGAAAGGAGCCAAGAAGATAAGGCCAACTGTCATCGCTCCCTATTCCCAAAACAATGGCGGGATTATGCCACAGGCCAACATCTCTCAAAAAAAAGACAGCTCTAGAGAAGGCGGATATCAGGAAGCAACAGCAATGGCAACACTGGGAGAAGGACTGAGGGTTCATGAGTAATACCTCGGGGTGGGAGTAAGGAAGGGGAAGCCCTAACAAAAATCTAGTGTGGCTGGAAGTGAACGATCACCAGCTGCATTTTCCTTCACAACCATCACTCTCTCTTCTCCCCTCCCGCCCCTCAAGTGAAACAAGGCTGGAGTGGAGGGGATGGGTGGGATAAATGGAGTAGCTTTGAAGTGTAAATTTGGGCTTAAGACCTGTCTCCTCCACGAAATAACTGTCTGAGTAGGGCTGGTCGCAACGCCGTGCCTCAGTTTCTCCATTACACTTCCTACTACACAGGAATACTGTCAAGACTGGACAAGACGAGTGCCAAACCCTCGGCACAGGGCCAGTCACAGAGGAACCGCTCGGTGGACCTAAGGCAAGTCCGCAGGGGGCTTCTACGGTCTCGGCTCGGCCCGGAAAGGAAGCACCCGGGGCCCACTCCGCGCCAGCAGCATTCCGAGCCCCTGCCCGGCCCACCTTGTTGTTGTACTCCTCCACGAAACTGCCCAGCGCCAGGCGAAAGCGCTTGTCCGGCCGCACGCTCCAGTTCATGGCGTAGACGGTCCAGGGCGCTTCATACTTGTAGATCTCCTTCCGCTTGCCGT